AGTTTTCCATGATTTAGTCCTAGAAAAGGGCAGCCTCAGTAGTGTGGAAATGACATTGGCTCCTGTTTCTTAATTCTTCCATTACCCATTATCCAAAGCCAAGCCTAAATGGGAAAGTACAGTAGAATTCCTTTGTGGTGCTGATTTTGGGGACAAGACTTGTATCGTTGTTAGCAGCTAGCCACGATGATCAGGCTTTTCTTGTGGTTTTGGGATATGATTTGACCTCTGCAACTTCCAAGTCCGGGTAATAAGAAGCTGTGTTGTAATTGAGCTCTGAGAGGAACTAGGCAATCTTTTTACTTTTTTTTCCTTTCTTTTTTCTGCAATCCCTTTTCCAACAGCAAATTGAAGAAGTCCGACAGGTCGGATCATATAAAAAGGGAACAATGACTACAGGACACAACGTGGCTGACCTGGTGGTAATCCTAAAGATTCTGCCAACGTGTGAGTGTACCTCTTTCTGGCTATGGAAACGGAACAGAACATAGCAGTTGGATTTGAGGCAGAGGGATATTTAAAGCCCAGATTTCTTGTGAGAAAGGCTTATTTGGAAGACAAATGGGAAAATTTATTTATAAAAGGTCTTAGTTTTCCCAAATTTCTGTCTTAGGTACTGCTGCCTTCCCAGGGTTAAGGATGTCAGTGACCATTTGTTTCTGCTGAAGTAGTCTATTGGTCATGCACTTCCTGGTCTGGATAGTTACTGTGTCGTTCATGATCATAGCAGATCTTCAAGTAGTCAGGGAAGGAAAAAAAAGTGGAAAGTTATTTTAATGTGTGGGGGTAATAAGGGACAAACTCTGGGGTGTATGCCTGAAAGAATGTATGACCAGTTATTATAGGGCAGCATTTCTCAACTGGGGGTGATTTTGTCCGCAGGGGACATTTGACTATCTAGAGACATTTTTGGGCTACTGGCATCAAGGGGGTAGAGGCCAGGAATGGACCCTACCCCTCAACTCCCAAAGAATTATCCAGCCCAAAGTGGCATTAGTGTCACCCTCCTGCAGAAAGAGCATGCGGATATCGGAGATGTCCTGTGCCCTGAGTCTTCTAATTTCTCTGTCCAGGCATTAGCTTCCCCTTGTAAAAGTTTTTTCTATTGCTTGCCCTTGCTTTAGCCTTGAACATGGGGCAGAAAGTGCAGAGTAGATAATTATAATGTTCATTATCTCCTCTTCTCTCATTCTAGTGGAAGCTGTTGCTGCTCTAGGGAACAAAGTCGTGGAAAGTCTAAGAGCGCAGGATCCTTCTGAAGGTTGGTTTGTTGCTGAACATGTATTTAGTGGTCATAGGAGCTAGGTCTGTAATTCTAAGTACACAGTTAACAAAGTGTCAGTCTAGAAGGAAGAGTGAATGCAGTTTTATGTTGGGGAAGTTTTTGTTTTTTTTTAATATATATATATTTTTACTGATTTCAGAGAGGAAGGGAGAGAGAGAAACATCAATATGAGAGTCATTGATTGGCTGCCTCCTGCATGCTCCCTGCCAGGAATCAAGCCCACAACCCGGGCATTGAACTGTGATCTCTCGGATCATAGGTCTATGCTTAACTGCTGAGCCACGCTGGCCAGGCTATGTTGGGGGTAGTTTTGGTGAGATCTCCAGTATTCAAAATCTCGATCTCCTTTACTTTTTTTCCCTCTATTATTGTTGACATGATCTTTACTTTTAAAACTCTGTATTCTAAATCCTTATTCTGGGCTCTTGCTGCTTTTGAAAACCTATCTATTCCCTGACCCTAGGTTTACCTTTGGTCATCTAATGGAAACATGAGAGTTAGAGCTCTTGAATTTTTTCTTTCAGTTCTGACCATGCTGACCAATGAAACTGGCTTTGAGATTAGTTCTTCTGATGCTACAGTGAAGATTCTCATTACAACAGTGCCACCCAATCTCCGAAAACTGGATCCAGAACTCCATTGTTAGTCCTTTTTTTCCATTGCTGGGAAATTTGGAGGAAATTCAAAACATGGTATAAAGTTGCTGTTGAGTTTAGCTTGTTGCTATTGCACATAAAACCTTCTGCAACCTAAGTTTACTCCCAAACTTGGCTACCTCCATCTATAATCTGAAGACAGGTTTACCAGGCTTGGTAGTGGATGGTCAGAAAAGCAGTTTGAGGACCTAAGAACTGTGGAAATATTTATGGACATGGGTTTGGGTTTGGCTTTTGGAGAAAATCGTGGATCTTGTATACTTCTAGATTTGGTTTAGGAGTAGTGAGTTTTGGACAAGTGATTTACTAATCTGAGGAACATGGAGTGGTTTGTTTACTATTATTTTTTTAAAGGACTGAACTACTTTTTTTATGTCTATTGATTTCAGAGGGAGGAAGGGAGAGGGAGAGAGAAACATCAGTGATGAGCGAGTCATTGATCAGCTGCCTCTTGCAGGCTCCCTACATCCCAGGCCTGTGCCTGACTGGGAATCAAACTGTAATCTGGATTATTGGTCAATGCTTGACCACTGAGCAACACCGGCCAGGCTTTTAATTTAATTTTTTTTTTAATCCTCACCCGAGGATTTGTGTGTTTTTTTTACTTTTTGGAGAGAGAGGAAGGAAGGGAGAGAAAAACATTGATTGGTTGCCTCCGGGACATACCCCGATGGGGAATTGAACCTGCAACCTTTTAGTGCATAGGACGATGCTCCAATCAACCGAGCCACCCGGCCAGGGTGAACGTTATATAGTTTAGGAATTACATTATCCTGTCCTTCCAAGTTACTGAACTGTGGCAGTGGGATTGAATTGCTTGCTTAATAGGAATGTTTCATCTTGGCCTGTCATGCTTCTAGTGGATATCAAGGTGTTGCAGAGTGCCTTGGCAGCCATCCGACATGCCCGCTGGTTTGAAGAAAATGCTTCTCAGTCCACGTGAGTTTCCCCCTCACTATTTGAGCTAAGATAACCTAAGCCTTAGAACTACAGCACAGGATACCCCTGTACTTCCTCTAACAGAACTTTTTTTGGCTCTAACCTTCTGTCTAGATTTTGAATTTTACCTTAAGTAAGCAAATTTAAATTGAAAGAAGAGAATTTGTAGTTCTGGAAATAGCTTCAGCTGTGTACCTCAGGTGTGGAAGTACATGATCATACTACTTTTAATCCCTGGGTCCCTCTTACCTACCTCCAGAGTTAAAGTTCTCATCAGACTTCTGAAGGACCTGAGGATTCGTTTTCCTGGCTTTGAGCCCCTCACACCTTGGATCCTTGACCTACTTGTAAGTAAAGAAGGGCAGTTGAGTTCCTGATCATCCCTATCTAACCATAGTTACCCTGACATCAACCAGAATCTGCAATATGGTGAAGCTTAAAAAAATCTCATTGGTGGACAAGTAATCCAGTAAAGATTCAGTGTTTATGACTTCATTGGGTTTTTAGAGTATTGAGTAGTTATTACTGCCCCTTTTTCTGTTGTTACTGCTGTCATTTCATTAACGTGATCATGGAGAGAGCGTAGATGAGCAGTCACTTCAGAATTGCTTCTGAAAGTAAACATTTTGGCTAGGCCTTAACCAGTTTTCCTCATGATGGCTTTTTTTATTTTTTTGGAAAAGATTGCTATTTTTATGGCACACCTTCCAGACTTATTCTTTTCCAGGGGCACTATGCTGTGATGAACAACCCCACCAGACAGCCTTTGGCACTAAATGTGGCATACAGGTATAGCATGCTTCTCTGGGTTTGGGACTGGATGTAAACTGTCTTGTATGTTCTTTTAATACCTCCCTCCTGTGTTTCAGGCGTTGCTTGCAGATTCTGGCTGCAGGACTGTTCCTGCCAGGGTCAATGGGTATCACAGACCCCTGTGAGAGTGGCAACTTCAGAGTACACACAGTCATGACTCTGGAACAGCAGGTATTGGGACAGCTCTGAAATGGTTTGTTGTGCGGCACTCTTGAATGCTCCTGGGTCAGAAGGCAAAGGGAATGTAGTCTTTAGGGGTCAAGGATATGGGGGTTCTCACATACTTTGGGCTTGAAATTAAAAAGTTATCTTCATCTCTGTTTTCATGAGAATGTTAGTCAAACAACATTCAATTCTTATTTATCCTCACTTTGCTCTCCCCTTCAGGACATGGTCTGCTACACAGCTCAGACTCTGGTTCGAATCCTCTCGCACGGTGGCTTTAGGAAGATCCTTGGCCAGGAGGGTGATGCCAGCTGTGAGTGTCAGAGGTTCTTTAGGGTATTCTGTGGTCTACAAAGAAGCTCTACACTACTCAGATGTTTTAATATTTCCACTGTGTAGATCATGACTTGTATGCTGGGCTACTTGTCTAAAATCATCTTTTCTTTTCTAGATCTCGCTTCTGAAATATCTACGTGGGATGGAGTGATAGTGACACCTTCAGAAAAGGCTTATGAGAAGCCACCAGAGAAGAAGGAAGGAGAGGAAGAGGAGGAGAATACAGAAGAACCACCTCAAGGCGAGGAGGAGGAAAGTATGGAGACTCAGGAGTGATCTTCCCTTCTCACCCTTTCTTACCCAAGGGGAAGATTGGAGTCTAAGCTAACTGCTGCTGGGCTTTATACAGTGGCATTTTTGAGGGATGGGAAGACCTGAAAGAAAATAAAAATAAACTCTACGGAAGGAAGGGTCATTCCACTGAGTTCTTACATTGACTTAGTAGCCAGAAGTCTCCCGTCTATAGTGAAGCAGGATACCAACGTTTCTTCATAATGCTGTAGAATCCCCAGCTCCTGGAAACCTCTTTTAACCAGTACTTTGTTGTTGAAATGTCAACTGTTCATGCCTGGAAATATTTTTTTCTAAGAAAAAATGAATAAAGTACTTCCGAGTAGGGCTCTTGGTCTTGTTTTTCCATGGTATCTGGCCACCTTTTTGGCTTCCTTTTGCTTTCTATACTCTTCATTGAAAATGCTACTTGAGTCTTTTCATTGTGAACACTTAGATCACAATTTGAAGCTGTATTTGAATTTAAGTACAGCAAAGATTCTTGGGACCTTTCCATGTACCAGAGTAAACTAGAATACTGTTTAAGCATTTATTGAATTAAATGGTTCTAGCAAGACTGCTGTATTCAAGCCAGTGAAATCTACAAGAGGGTAGATAGGTGACTTTGCTTGCCCTCTCCAAAACTTCAGTATAAACAGGAAAATGAGAAGTCAAAGGTAGAGGACATGCTGCCCAGGCCCCAACAACCAGCTATATAATAGGAAGCCCCTCCCTGGTTAACTAGATTTGAAGGTAGAAGTGAGCCTTGAGTATGTACCTTTAAAAAAAATGTAGGAGGTCTCAGTTCATTCTTGGAAGGAAGCAAGAGCTGGAATAAATCCTTTGGGATCCTGAGTCCTGCTCAACATAGGTTTCTTTGGCCCCCCCATAAATGGGTAAGACTTTTAAGTGCTTCAAACACACAATCCATAGGACTGTCTTGATATCCCAAGGTTTATAGGGTGTCCTGAAAGAAATGAGGCAGCTGGAAAATAGTACTTGTACTATTCTGAGGCCCATCTTCTGTTACTTGCTTGGGGAGCCAGGGGGGTAAACTCCAGAATCCAGCATTGCTCTCCTACGGGCTGTTTCCTTGGCAACACTGTGGTTTAGCCGCCTCAGCCGCTCCTACAAGACAAGATTTGGAGCTCACTGTCACCCAGGCACTGTAAAATATCTTAGGCTTGCTCCATTTCAATGTAGGTCTTCTAAGGTATACAAGAATGTAAATGACAGCAACTGGGTATTGAGAATAAACAGTTCTAGCATGGCAGACGCTAGCTGACAAATCCCTTTCCCCAAAGACTTGAAAAATTATGACTAAGTTGGACGTTCCTTGAAAACTAGAGATACACCCTGAGAACTTAGAAAGCAGAGCAAAGAATCACTTGGTAGAAAATTCTTTTACCTGGGCATTCTGCAGAATGTTGTTGACCAAGACAACTCGTCGCCGGGCATTAAGCAGCTTCTTTACATAGGGGTCGAGATCTAGGGCCACTTTCTGATCCTCATTTATACGGCACAGTTCTGTGGGTGGAAGGAAGGTGCAACTAATACCTATTGGCTCGTTTCTTGTTCTTAGGCAAAGTAAGCTAGTAATTGGGATAGAAAACACTCTTGCACCCACATGGGCCGGAGTCACTAGAAACTTAAAGGAACCTGTTGGCAGTATTCCCTGATGCAAGGAAGTAACAGAAACCCAGCTCAGAGGACGGCAAAACATAAGGTTCTAAAAGTAAGCTGGAGGATTCCTGATACACAAGGGATGCTTACTCACCAGTAGCTAGGTTGTCAATTTGTTCCCGAAGCTCTACCTGGCTCTCTCTGCAAAGAAGTACAAGCCCTATAGGGTCAATCAATGGAACGCAAGAAACCTGTTCCCCTACGTGTTTCCCAAGTGCTGAGAGAAGCCAGCCTCACGCCCCCATCCCCCACTCCGAGGCCGTTTTGCCTGCCTCGTTTCCCAAATTTATTCTAAGTCCTGTCAGAATTCTGGCAGAGACCCATCTTGGCTCCGCCCTTTTGTGGCCTCGCCCCTACAAAGCCAAATCGAGAGGCCCCGCCCAACCTCCCTTCTCGGGCACCTCACGGCGTGGACGTGAGAGTCGAGCTGCTGCACAGCTGGTCGCAGAAACTCTAGGAGCCCCTCGGCAAAGAGGTCGCGGCCTGCGGGCCCCGCCACCGGGGTCCCTGCCCCGGACACAGCGGCGGAACCAGCCCCCGCCATCACGAATTACCCTCACCCCCGGAACCTGCCGCGAGGGCCGCCGGGAACTGAAGCCCCGCCGCGGTGCGCCTCAGGGGTGTGTCCGGAAAATGCCGGCTGCCATTCAACCCCTGGGATTTCTGGGAAATGGAGTCTCCGGAGCGGGCAGGGCTGGGGAAAACGCTGGGCCTGAACGCTCTTTGTAGTTGTAGTTCTTTATGCACCTGAAAGACGATTTTTAAAATCTTCAGACTTCAGGTGCTAGGGGAAGGAATCATTTAAGGGGCGGGTACTTTTTGTTTTCTCCAAAGGTGAAAAGTAAACTATTATTTATTTACTTACTTATATAATTCCTTTTCATTATTTTTATTTTTATTGAAAAATAAATTTATCCCTAGTTATCCATAGCCTTCCTATGCTAACTTATGAGAAAACCAGATTACGTTTATAGTATAGCTTTATATTCCTAAATTTATGAGTGGTTTTTTTTTTTAAATCCTCACCCTAGGACAGTTCATTGATTTGGGAGGGTGGGGCATTGATACATTGAGGAGTCCGGGCATATACAGAAGGCATCCAATCCATGTATCTCTTTCACATTCATGTTTCTCTCTCCCCCACTTCCTCCCTCTCTAAAATTAATTTTAAAAAATGGTTAAAGTGCTAAATTTTGTGTTATGTGTACTTTGCCACAGTAAAAAAAATTTAGCCCTGGCTGGGTAGCTTGTTTACTTAGAGCATCCTCCTGATACACCAAGGTTGTGGGATCAATTGATCCTCCGTGAGGGCACATATAAGAATCAACCAATGGCCCAGCCAGTGTGGCTCAGCAGTTAAGCAATGACCTAGGACCCAGGAGATCGGAGTTCGATTCCCAGTCAGGGCACATGCCCGGGTTGCGGGCTGCAGCCGATCAATGACTTTCTCATCATTGATGTTTCTACCTCTCTCTCTTCCTTTCCCTTTCTCTCTCTGAAATCAATAAAGATATCTTAAAAAAAAAAAGAATCAACCAATGAATGCATAAATAAGTGGAACAACAAATAGATGTCTCTCTCTAAATTCAATAAATAAATAAATAAATAAAATTTTTAAAAACTTGCACGTGTTTTCATATTTTTATTTTCCTTCCTTCCAAAACTTTCCTTAGTATTGTTTAATTTTTTGGCTTTCCAAAAAGTTTACATCCCTCGTTGACTTTTCAACAAGAGACACAGCCTTCTGTCCCTTAAGTTGTAACGTGTTCCAGTGGCTCACAATTCTCAATGCTTAAAAATGCTCCTAGAGAGCAAAGGGGTCCATAGAGATAAGTGGGCGCTAGTCTGTTCAGCCTTGAGCTTCATTCTTAGGAATAAAGGAGGAGAAGATGTTTAAATCACTGTGGGAGCGAGCTAATCAGCAGCTGTGAACCTGAGACCCCCAACTGTGATAACTTTTAAAGCCTTGTACACTTTCTGTTTATTGTATTTGTCTCCCATTTCCCTGTGTCGTTCTCTCCAGTTATTAGAGGTAAAACTCTCATGAGTGGCTGGGGATTTATTTTGCGAGTAAGCAGTAAGGAAGTGAGTATCTAGGGCAACTGCAGCCTGCTTCATAGTCAGGCCTTCAGAAGGGGGAGCCCAGGAGGTAGAGAGAGTGGTGGTGACACTGTGGAAAGGAAAGGGAAAAGGCCCAAGTCTCTTAGGCCTGAACAAGGGCTTGCCCCAGCTGGGGAGGGGAGTTAATGGCCCAGTATCTAGACACAAAGCCCCTGCATTAGGCCACAGTCTTTTCTTTTAGGTACCTCTTGGGTGTAGGGTTGCCAGATTTAGGAAACAGAACAAAAACCCTGGGACAATAGGTAAATTTTAATTTTAGATAAACAAATAATTTTTTAGTATAAGTATTTTATCTGGTAATCTTACTTCAAAGGCTGGTTCTCTGAGGAAAATAACTTTTTGTTTTATGCTTTATGCCTTCCTTTCCACTCCTTATCACCTTGAGTTAGCTCTTATCTCTCGGGAAGGCATTTGCAAGAGCCTCCTGACTGATCTTGCCTCTAGTCTTTCTACTCTCCAGGTCATTCTGCATTCTAAAATACCAGTCAGATGAAAGGGACTTTTAGAATTCTTTCCTTGGTTCCTTGGACACCTCTGTGAGGAAAACTGGGCAAGGGTCTTACAGAAACACTGAAGTTTGATAACAGGTTGAAGGCCAGTGCTGGTTCAATTCTTCATTCTCTAAACATTTATCAAATTCCAGGCATCATGACACAAGGTATTCAGCACAAAATCCCCCTCCTCCCCGCTTGCACCCCTATCACATTGCAGTGGCATTCCAGTCCTTGGCTTTTCCATAGAGGCTAAAGGAGATATAGGTCCTAAGAACTCTCCCTCTCTTCTGTCTCCCCTGGATGCTGCTTAGGTTGACCTGCCCCCTCCTAGCTGGTGACTTGAAGGTGGGTCTCTGGGTAGGTCCATGAGGAAACTTTGTAGGAGTAGCTGTTCTGGCTCAGGCAGTTACAGCCACACGGTACCCTCTGCCTGGCAGGCTAGCTGCACCCCTACACCCAATGAGGACCCTGGATGGGGCAGAGGAGGTGGTCAGGGTTATCAGAGGGTCCTTCTGTGGTAGTGGTGGTGGTGGCAGTGGGCACAGAATGGTATATGGTGATGGCTTTAACAGGGGAGGGAGGCAGACCTGAGAGACTTGTTAGGCCCAGGTAAGGGACAAGGATTTCCTGGTCCACCCTGCTTTCTGGGAGGTGAGAACTTTGGGGAGCTCTACAATGCTTCAATGGCAGAACTGAAGGGGGCAGCAGTAGTGGCAGGAACAAGGGGTAAGATGGGCAGTCAGGAGGCTTGAGATTCTAGCTGTTTTATCAACTGGTGCTCCTGGGCAGCTGCCATCCCACCTCCCCCATGGGTGAATTCTCTGGTCAGATCAGTATCAGGTCAGACTCTAGGGCTCCTGCTTATCGCAAAGGGGTCAGAGGCTGAGGGTGGGGTCCTGGCATTGGCAGCACTGGGAAGTTCGAGGTGGCTGAGGAGACCTGTCCTCTTTTCATCTTCCTTGTCTAGCTTTCCTCCATCTCCTCTTTTCTCTATTTGCTGACCTGGCTTTGCTCCTGAAATGAAATTCCTTTAATGGATGTGCTTTTGGTTAAAGTCCAAATAGTAAAGCTTTAGGAGTTTTGGGAGCCCTTGTTTCATCCAAGACTCTTACAGATAGCCTTTTCACTGTGTGTGTCTCTCATCCATGTGTCTTTGGGTTCCTGGACCTAATTTCAATGTGTGTGTGTGTTCCCCTACACCTCTATTAAAGAACAAAATTCAGCCCTGGCCCAGTAGCTCAGGTGGTTAGAGTGTCATCACCATACACCAAGGTTGGGGTTCAATCCCCAGTCAGGGCACATACAAGAATCAACCAATGAATGCATAAATAAGTGGAACAATAAATTGATGTTTCTTTCTCTCAAGTCAATTAAACACACACACACACAACCTAAAGAACAAAATACAACCTAGTAAATTTGAAGACCTAATTAGCTTTAATAAGCCATTCATAAATCTCATGAATTGGCCAGCATCCCATTTAACAACTAGAAGGGTGCTCCCAGGAGTTGTGTGAATTGGAAGGTTTTTATAGGCAGAAAAAGGGTGGGACAAGAAAGTTAAGAGTGCATTATTTTAGGCAAGGTCACTTTCCCTTAGGGGAAGGCAGAGGTTCTTATTGTGTAGATTACCTCACTGGTGCTGACCAGGTAATTCCAGAATGATTGGTTTAAAATTCCACTCCAGGGAGAAGCTGAAACTGCAATTAAATTAGTTATTAAATTTTGATTTGTTGATATAGCTTAGCAATGGTGACTCCATTTTGGCCTGTTGTTTCCTTTTTTCTTTCTTTAACACCTCTAACAAGCAATTGTTAGACACCAGCTGAGTGTCTGAGAATTCAACTCAATTCTGACACTATCTGCCTGGACAGTCAACCAGGCAGCAACATCAGATTCCACAGGTAGATGGTTCAGTTCTAGAAGGCCCATCCCTACTCCCACCCCATTTGAGATGCCAGTTGAAAGTGCAGGTTGTTACCTGTGCTTCTGACTTATTGGCTATAATCAGAGGTTTCCATAAGTCCCTCCTAGGGTTCCATTAATTTGCTAGAGTGACTCACAGAACTCAAAAATTTTACTTACTAGATTACCAGCTTATTATAAAAGAATATAACCCAGGAACAGCTAGATGGAAGAGATGAAAGACAAAGTATGAGGAAAGGGAACAGAGGTTCCTGCCCTCTACAGGTGCTCCAGATCCATGTGTTCACCAACCCAGAAGCTCTCCAAACCTTTCCTTTGGGTTTTTATAAAGGCTTCATTACATAGGCATGATTAATTAAATAAATGATTGGTGCTTGAACTCAGCCTCCAGCCCCTCTTGCCTCCCTGGAGGTTGGGGCAGGGGGACGGAAATTTCCAACTCTTTAATCATAAAGTTAGTTCTCCTGGCAACCTTTAGATGGGTCCAAAAGCACTTCATTAACATAACTCAACCTCCAGTCCCTCTCAGCTCCCCAGAGGTCTGGGGGTAGGACTGGAAGTTCCAACCCTCTAATGACATGGTTGGCTCCATTGGCAACTAGCCCCCATCCTACAGGGTTCTTTAACACAAGACTCCATTATTGCTCTTATCACATAAAATTTCAGGAGCTCTGTGCCAGGAACAGGGTTCAAGACCAGATATGTATTTCTCATATGTCACATATTACACCATAGATGTTTTTAAATCTTAAGCCAATAATCACTTTACATTAAAAGGTAAAGAAATTAAATAAATCAAGCCTAAATGGAGAATGAAGTTGTCAAGAGTTGGAGGCTTTTCAAGACATGAGAAATTTATTAAAGGGCCTTAAAGTTTGCAAACGTGGACCACAGCTAGGTAAAAAATCAGAAATGTTCCAAAGAAAGAAAACTTAAGTTTTTAGAGTAAAAAGTACATTCTTGTGTATTAGTCCTGCATTCTTAGCCTTAGGATTGGTCCAGGATGCAAGATGGTTATCAGTCAGCTCTCAGGTAGTCTGGAAGATGGGCACCAGGAGGTCTGGTCAAGCCGGTGGTCTAGATAATAGATATCAAGTGGCCTAGATGTGTGAGTCCTCCAGAGGGGTAATCAGAGGGTTACCTGGAGGTCCAGAGATATATACAGGCATTGACACAGGACTGGGAAGTTCAAAAAGTTAAAGTTCCCAGGCTAGTTAGAACAAGAATAGAGTCTTTCCTCATGCCTCAGTCTTCATGGTGTTGATAGTTTTAGCAGCTTAAAGTGACTCCATTTTTTATTCCCTATCTTCACTCTTTCCCCAAAACAAATCCCTTAAAGAGGCCTCATTAGCCCTGGCCGGTGTGGCTCAAGTTGGTTGGAGCATCGTCCTGTACACCAAAAGGTGGCTGGTTCGATTCCTAGTCAGGGCTTGATCCCCAGTAGGGTGGGTGCAGGAGGGAGCCAATCAATGTTTCCCTCTTACATGGATGTTTCTCTCTCCCTCTCCCTTCCTCTCTCTCTCTTTGCTTCAAGCAAAGATGGGCCAGTGGCCCCTACCAAAAAATAAATAACTTCAATAAAAACAAATAAATAAATAGGTCTCATAAGACCTCAGCTGCTCTAGGCCTACTGGCTTGCCAGCCCTACAAGGTAAGAGGCCCATGGGGGCTGCTGCCCATCACAGTTCCCGGAGCCTTCGTGGGCCTGTCTTCACTTCAGACACACTCACTTTCCTTGGCATACATGCTCTTTTAGGTCTGGATACCTTTGTTATATATTGTTCTAATTGGAATATTTTCCCTTGTCTGTTAAACTTTCCTGTGACTTTCAAGATTTAGTTTATCAGTCTCTTCTCTGCTCAACCAGTGCCCTTCTAACAAACAATGCCTTGTGTCTATATGGCAAGCCCTCAGCAGATGGTGGCTGAATGAGTAAAAGGCTGACCTAGGAGCCTGGCTGATCCTCCTTGTCCCACTCTATCCGGGACACTTACCAGGGACAGAGGATGGCAGAATTGGGGCACATGCCTCAGGATATGCTGGAACTACAGTGAGTAGCAGGTGAGGCTACAGAGCCTGACTGTAGGAAGTTCCTTGTATACCCACTGTTGGGAATGAAGGAGGAATAGAGGCAGAAAGGAAAGGGGGATTAGGCTCCAATAGTCACCTCATTGCCCTATCTCCACTGGGATCTCAAAGCCCTCACCCTCCACCCCACCACAATGCCTCAGGGTCCCCTAACCATCAGGCCATGTCTTGACATTTTCATAGCAGTAAAGATTTCAGATTCTAGAAACATGAGCCCCAACCTGGTCTTCGCTTCCTACACTGCCAAATATAGCCAGTGTAAAAGAAGGGAGGGTGTAGAGGACATGGGGCAAATCCTTTTGAACAGCCACTGTGTGCACTGAGAGCAACGAGTCAGCAGAACGTGGTGAGACTGGAAGCACTCTGGGCAGGGGGAGCCTGAACTAGAAGAGGCTGACGTAGAGTGGCTAAGGTACACTCAGCACCTTGGGAAGTTCCTCTTTCTCAAAGGCTCCAGATTTTCTGGCCCCAGCTTCTCTTCCATAGCCCAGGAGGTTGAGGCATCCAGGGACTCTGAGATACACCCGCCCTCCACCTAGGAATTCCATTAGTGGATGAAGGGGGTGGTGGTGGGAGGCACTTGCTGCCATCCTGTGCTCTTCCCCACGTCTGGACTCCTTCCATAGTTTTTACCTTGGAATCCTGCCTAGTGTGGGGAGAGCTCCAAATAAGGAAAGATGGGCATGAGCATAGAGGTGTGTGAGCTGCATGGAGTTGGAATGGAGCAGTTAAGAACTGGACTGCTGCTGAAGGGCCCTGCTGTGACTTCTTCCCCCTCTATCCAGACTAGGTTCCCCTTTACTCACACTGCTCCAGAGCCCTTAGTGCCTTTCACTCCTCACAGACAAAGGATTCCAGTTTATGTATTATCGGAGATGGCCCAAAAGCCACCAGATAAAAAAACATCGAGGGTTAAGTTCTAGGTAAAAGGTCGTTTTAGGGGGAATATACTTATTAGCTACCTTGGGGGAGGGGCAAAGTATTTGGGAAGGGGGAAGAGTGCTGGGGGAAAATCCTAGTAGGTCATCCCAGGTTGTACGAAGAGGGTAAGGAACCCACCTGCAGCTCCCCATTTCCTTTCTCTTCCCAATGGTTTCCTAGAGGCCCTGGGAGGTGCCTGATGCAAGGCAATCAGGGTATGTGAAATTTGCAAGGTGGCCTGCCCACTACAGATGAGCACCTCCTTCACAGAAGCCTTGGGGGCTGCCAAAGGAAATACCCTTACAACTAGCCATGACCACACAAAAATACTTGTTCCTTCTAATTACAGGTTATGAACACCTGCCTGGGTTGAAGACCTCCAGTCTCACAGTCCATTCTTAGTGAGAGGAACTATAATACACTTAGAATTCAGGTCAGGCTGGTTATGTCAGCATGGTTAAGTGTGCCACCCCCACATGATCTTTTCAAGCTCTCCTTTCTACAGTTAACTAAACCACTTGCTGCAGAGGGGTTAAGTAGCCTAGGTCATACAGACAGGATTCAAGGTCAGGATGTTCTGATCCAAATCTCCTTCCCAGTATGCAATAAACACAACCTCCCAAGTTTAGAGTACCAGGTAGCTCAATGGTAATTGTTTTGGTTGGAGGTAGTTAGATTCTTTTCCCTTAAAACATTACAGGGAAAAAAAGGGAAACCAGTGCTGGGTTCCAGGAAACTGCCTAAGACCACCTTGCTTGACCTTTCTATGGACCAAACCGGTCAATACATTACTTTGTGTGGCTAATCTTTCTGCAAGGCTTAAAGGTGGACAGATTCTTTTCTTTCTGTCTCAAAGCAACAATACCCCCTCTCTCTAGAATTTTAACACAACTATGAAGGACTCAGCACTACAACGGGTATGTCAAGATGATGTTATAGTAGCCACAGCATTTCAAAGAGCACAACAGACAGAGAAAGTCCTGGATGGATTTGAGAGAACAATTTCTTGTTATAATAAACCAGAAATACAAGATTCCACTGAAACTGGAACAGTTGACAGAATATGGTTGAACTTATAAACCTTCAAAGGAAGAGTGTCAAACAAAACCAATGTATGGAAAAGCCCAAGAATAGTTTGGGATAAATATAAGAATTACATTCAGCACGGCTATCTTCTGACCCCTCCCCAGCAGGTATCTGCCACAGTTCTCCCATCCCTTCTGAAGCATCTGCTTAACCAATGGCTTTTCCCTCTCTACTGCAGGTGCAAGCCAACCCAACAGTACCCCTTTTGGACATGATGCAAAGCCAAGAGAAAAGTTTGTAAATCTCATTCCAGGGTAGAAAGTATGCACACATCCAAACCAGTTCACATTATGTGCTGTCAATTCACATGGTAGCAACTAATCAAATCAGAGCTGCTACCATGTATAACCTGTTATGTGATACTAGCTAGGCCAATGTTCCTAATTTACTACACTAAAATATCAATGTGGCAGAATGCATTTTTTGAACTCCAGATTTTCTAACCACTTCTAAGAGGCTATTAAAGTGATATAGAACAGAACTGTCTTCCAGAAACCTAGGCATCAGGGAGGAACACTGAATGGATCCTTTCTGGGACTTTTTTAGGGGGTACAGAGATGAACAGAGGAAATGTTAGACCATCAGAGCATTATAGCAGGTGAGGGGAGGCAGAGGTGGAAAGCGGGTCGACATAGTCATGTTCAAAGAAAAGTCTGGAAGAAAAAACAACCAACCAACAAAAACAAACCCAAAACAACAAAATGAAACCAAACCCAAGTCAGAGGAAAAAAGGGTTTCATACAATACAGTATCAAAAAAGTAAAAGGAACACACTAAATGCACAAACTGGTGGCAAGTTAAGTCCATAGTCTATTGGGATAAGTCCTTTCAGCATCAATCAGGTAGGTTTCTTCTCATCTGTTATCTCAAGGTTATTTACAGACGTGATAACTTTAACAAGAGTCTCTCACAGGAAGGCAGGCAGGCTTCAATCATTGGTTTCGGGATCTGTCTGTGCCATGTAGGCATCCAACTCCGCATCCAGGTGTCCTTTTGTTTTTGACATGTATGCATCCAATTGGTTGTCCAGTTGCTCCTTGGTCAGTACAGGGCGAGCAAGGGCACCTCTCCCTCGTCCACGGCCTCGGCCTCTGCCTCCAAAGCCCCCTCTTCCCCGACCTATCATACCCCGACCTGGCCCAAGGGAAAAAAAAGACAGTTACAAGTAGGTTTAACGGGTGCTATAGTAAATGCCCCTTAGAGCAGTGGGGCCTAGCTGAGAGGCTGAAGGGTAGGGCAAAGAGGAGAAATCTGGAAAAATAGGAAACACACTGGGTAGCAAGCAACACATGGAAAGCACACATAATGAATCCCTTATTATATTCTCATCTCTAAATGCTATTTAAAAATTTTATTCTATAAACAAAGGGGAATTGATAATTTACAAAATCTTAATCTTTCTTAAAAGAAGTTATCTAAAGTTTGACCCACATTATAAGTTCATCATTAAAATACATTAAAGATAAACTCATTTATTAAGACAGGGAAGAGGTAATAGGGGCACAGAGCAACAGGGGTGTGCAGCCAGTTTTCAAATTAAGCTTTGCTGGAGATCCTTCTGGAAAATTAGCCCATCTCTCCTCAAATTTATCAAACCTAAAGGACTAATGAGCTGACCCCATGTCAGGAAAGTGAAGAGTTATTTTTACATAGGAACAATGTGGGGAAATGGGAAAGAACATCTTAAGTAGTCTCAGCCACTTTTATCTCCTATGCTAGATACTTATAACAATTATGGTTATCTGAGAGGTGGTTTCAATTTACTTAAAACATATCCAGCTAAGACTTTAGATTCCCTCACCCCTGTGTTGTTGCTCAGAGACCAAGTCAAGATAAATTGGAAACATGCTATTTCATTCTGAAACCCAAACTAGCTTGCACTTCACTCAATAAGCCAAGCAACATATAATAGAAGAAAACAAGCCTGAGCTATCAAATTTCCTTTCCTAACAGTTATTATCCCTTGGCAACTTCAAGCTTATAAATTATGGAAGATCCACCACACACTTTTAAAAGGACCAAAGCCAATATACACAGGGGCTAAGAGAATAAAAATTTTCTTTTTCTTGGATAGGTGTTGTTGGGAATTTCCCACTAAACTCTAAACCAGAAAATTCCCATGAGATTTGGCATTTTAACAGCAACACCATTAAACTCTTCCAATCTGGGTCAAGAGGTCATAAGAGAAATATTACTAAGTCTCAAACGTAAGACTATCATCAAACATGAGTCAGTTAGTTAACTGACACAATACCATCCTTGCTTCCTGCCTTGATAAAAAGTCATCTCTGGGCACTCTCCCTCCCAGGAGCAAGCCTGCACCTTTCCCTCCCTCATCTCCTTCCCCCACAGGTGTGCATCTCCTAAACTCTAAGGGACCCCATGAGAGACTTGCAACTAGGGGAGCAATGGGCAGCCACATCTGGTCTTGGGCTAACTCTCTGAACCTATCTCCAAGGCCCCTTTTGTTTCTTCTTCTATCCTAGGCCCTTCCTTGTTTCACTGTCCCCAGTTTTAATAAATATACCTTCAAAAAAAGTCATTTCTGGTTTCCCATCTAGACACAAACTTTACCTTGAATTTACTTGGTTTCAGAGTCCAAGTCTCACCATCCTTATCTTTAACTCTGCTTCATTTTTGTGGATCTTCCTCTTCTAGATTCTTAGACTCAAAGGTGGGGTTTTGAGTTATGGGGTGGGTCGTGTGTGGTGACGGGGCAGGGACAGAGAAAGGTAAAACCCCAAACCCACCACTTTTGTCATTTTAACAATACAATTTAAACTCACAATTGGAAGACTGCATATAATCTGGCTCTGTAACACGCACATGACTAGTTCTTGGGAAACCCATAAAAGACTTGTGTACTACCACCAAGTGAATTTAGAAAAATAAGCCAGTTTCAAAAAACAAAACAAGACAAACAAATAAGCCTGCCTATGACTTGAAGCTATGCAGAAAGGTGGCTCTGAGTTTTGAAGGGAGAGAAATAAGAGGGAGCTCTTCTCTGAAGTTGGTAGCTGACTAACCTCTACCACCGATTCCGCCACGACCCATAGCTCCACGCCCTAGGCCCCCTCTCCCAGGACCTCCACGACCTCGAACACCACCTCTTCTTAAGCCCATTCGGGGAGCTACGGCTCGTCCACCTCGGAGCAGGTTTTGACCTTGGAGAGGAGGCATACAATGTATATGCAGGTAAATCCAAGAGAAACAAAGTAGATTCTAACCAAAGGAAGGCGGTAAGGGTTAAATAAGTTAATTCAGATAATTTTTAGGTTGGGTGGGGTAAGCTGCATACTGAGTGTGAAAAGATTAAGATGCTCTTTATTGAATCAATTCAACAAGTCTGACCAAAAATCCTTTTGGAAGAAGCTGGGAGGAGTTAAGGCAATTAGTAAGTATGTACGTTTAATAAGTATCTATTGAGTAATCAGACAGGTGCCTAACATTATGATAAATTTACAAATAAATGATATGGTTCCTGCTCTCAATACACTCTTGTAGGGGACAAGAACTACACAGGGCCCAGTATAACAGTGCCCCAAATGTAATATATAGCTAAGTGTTATGGGTCAACTTGTATTCTCTTTTTTACAGATATAACAGTATTTCACTAGCACCAGAAAAGAGATGATTGGTTAAGCTAATAGGCCAACAGACCCATACATTTCTTAGACTTGACTTATTTCTAGAACTTGAATGTGCTTTGATTCAAGCAGCAGCAGGGTGTTTTAAAATGGAATGGAGATGACATGGATTACCTGTTGTTATGCAGGTCATAGCCTCTCACCATTGCACATTATCAGAAAAGGTATGATATCGATAAAAGGACATGCAGCACTATTAAAAATATGTGATTTCAAGTTATTAATTATATTAATACAAATTCAGGCTTAAAGATGTTAAACAGATGTGTCCATAAGCAGCCCAAGAGAAAAGGAAATGGGGTGGGGCTCAACAATTATCAGGAACACAGCACTGACCTCGGAGCGACATCCCGCCCCTAAGTAGGGTTCTCGTGGCACGTCCCCCACGTAGTCCTCCTCTGGGCAAGCCTCTCTGGATTATGGGCAGGCCTCGTCCTCCGATTGCTCCCCTGGCCAGAGCCCCTATGGGCCGGCCTAACCGTGCCTGGATGTTACTCTTACCCAGGCGCTGCTTTAAGCTCTTCTGGAAGAAAAGGTGTTGGGGGATTGAGATCAAAAAAGCAATCCAGTGGGATTTCGTAAGTCAAAGTGCAGAGAAAAAGAAGCAAGTGAGATGACTTGTGGAGGCAGATAAACCTGCTGTGGGTGTCATAAGGATGTTAAACCAGAAGCAAGCCTCAGAACATGGTATATAAGCAAATTTCTGATCCAGAGCTTCTAAGAAGCTTGAGTATGGTCCCACGAAATTGGCATCACCACAAACTACCTCACCAGTTTGGCTACAAAAGTTATACACCACTACTTGAAACTTATGTTTTATTAAGAATACTATTATTTCAAATCCTAATTCTGTTGTTTCTGAACCACAGGTTGACAATTATACGACTTGATTCATACCTGCCCAAGGACTACCACTGTCTTCAAAGGTTTACTCAAACACCATAGGAAGTTCACCACACTCTGGACAAAATTTAAATTAAAAGTTCATCTGAATTCTTGTGATTTAAGAACAACATTTGATTTCTCAAAGAGGCCAATGTGTTCCATCTTTCCTGAGTATATATCTCCAGACGGTCCACTTTTTACCTTAAGATGTAAATAAACACAAAAAAGTCAAACCTCCTATTCTTACATTTCTTAAATAGTCATATTCCATATCTACCCTTATGAACAGCTCCATTAAACCAGTATGATGACCTATAATTCAAAATAAACATAACTCACATGTATCTCCATAGAGCCAGCCAAATTTGCATTAGAATAAAGACAGGTGAGTATAATCACAAAACTCACGCCCACACTTGAGGACAAAAACATACCAGAGAAAAAGATTTTCAATAATCCATCCTTCAAAGAAAAACTAAGACGACCACATCCCAAAGAATTAAATCCCTTCGAAGAAAAAGGTGATTGTGTAGCCTTGAACACAACCAAGGCCTTAGCAAACTTGTTTTCCTATAAACCCATCAGTCAATATAAACAAAAATAAATTCTCTGCATCCCAAGGCTTCACCAATAAGCAACTGCTAATAACTGCACCTAGCATAAGCCCATTACATCACTCCCCTGACAGCATATTACGAGGTCAGGACTTCATTCCACATGTCACTTGTGTTGTCATCCTGAGAATATTCTCCCAAGACTGTGTTTTAAGGAGAGAATGTAAAGTGCTTAGAAATTCTTCTCTCCTCCCAAGCCTTACTTGCCAGCAATAATTGTCTCTAACATTGACAGAAAGCTTAAGGATGTCCATTGTATCATCCAGTTTCTACTCTAGAACTGTGCTGTATGCTAAGGTAGCCACTAGCCACATGTGGCTATTCAAATTACAAGTAAATAAAATTAAAAAGCTTCTTGTTGAAAGAGCTTTTGGAATGATCTGTTAGAGACTTGTCTTCAGCAATTTTTTATATTTACTTTTGGAAAACGGTGGTGCCTTTTACTGCTTTCCTGAGTCAGGAACGAATGCGGTCACTCCAAGGCTTAAGGTAGCTGAAGCAGAAGGCCTTGTTTATTTTTGGTCAGTGAGCCCAATGCTTCTGGGTGGGGGTGGGTGTTATATTTAACTGCTGAATTTATGCACAGCCATGCAGTGCTACCAGTTAAAGTCCTTACAGTTGCATGGCACCGCCCTCCAGACGCCCAGCCACAGCTTGGACATATCCTTCCACAGCCACTGTCCGGACTTGCATATAAAGTCTATGAATAATAAAGAGCAGGTTTTATTTCAGGTCTGAATAGGACTGTCTCTTACTGGAAATTTGAAAGTGAACCCATTAGCTTTTAAAGTACTCAGTACTCTCATTCTACTTTACTGACAAAAGTTTAGGTGCTGTGGAGATGGGGGTCATCCTAATAATTTCATATTTTAGCACTGAAAGCCACTGCCTGAGGCCATTCAGACTTCCTGGACTAGGGGAAAAAGAATAAAATTATTTCCCTAATTTGTAAACCATTTTAACAGGGAATAAAGGATTTTTTGAAGGTCATCTAAAACAGAAACCAAAATTTCTTTGTGGAAAAAGCCGGTGAATTTACTTTAAGGGCAAAGGATCAGAAAACAAGAGAGATTAGCACCCATTGATAACAGAGAAACAGGCCACATTAATGGCAAACTCCTTAAAAGACAACAAGAAGTTACTTATTGGTACCTGCTAAAAGGGAATTCTCTGAACTTCTCTTTCTTCCAGAGAAGCTTCAGCTTTTGCCCTGAGCCACATTGTATCATTCCTGACAGTCTTAGTGGGCTGCTTGACAGAGATCACCAGCTGCTTCTGGAACATTAAGACTCATTCTCTCACCTGCTTAAGTTTTAATGCTGCCTGGACAGAGGGTCTATTCTCCATCTGCTGGGCCAGTCTTCTGTTTCTGGCACTGGCTAGCTGCTGCTGTTGCTGCATCGAAGCCCGAATATTCACTGGCATCGGCTGTTTGTTCTTCAGCATATTAGTAAAGCTTCAAGGTCGAACAAAATGGATGTTTAAATAAAAGCTTTATTATAAAACATTTATTGGCATTTTCATGGCTTGCTAGACCAGGAACTCCAGATCCCACGAACTTTTAAGTAAAGCGGTACACTCAGATCAAAGCTGATGTGGGTTAAAGACTCCTCTGCTTCCATAAACTTGCAAGAATCAGAAACTTAGAAATGCAGCTAAGTGCAGCACATTCAATCAAAAGTGATAACAAGGGCTCAAGTAACGGCTTTTAGAGAGGTGGAAGGTATGAAAAACACGCAATAAGCAGATATGATGACAACACGAGACAAAAGATGTAGTTTCAAAGACAAACAAAGAAAGTCAAAACCTTAGGAGAACTGAGGGTACATTTTAAGGGCAAATATGAGGACTACCACCTTCAAAGCTTATGGAAATAATGTACCCATGTAAGTTACAGGAGTGCATCACATTTTCTTATATATTTGTTCAGTTAGTTATGTAAATATGAAGAATTAGTGTATCATACCCTAAGAGAAAAGGAGCACATATGCTTCAGAAAAGGCAAAAATATGCAGTGGTCAAAGGCACTCAGTGAACAGAGCTCTCATAGATAAAACTGCCTTTTTATATCTTTGCTTTTCTTATTCTCAAATGATTACTTTTGACTTCAACTGATTACTTCTGAAAAAGTTAGCTTAGTTCAACTGTTTAATAGTTTGTGAAGACACTCTTCTATTATTCCTGTAAAGGTAAGTTTAATGGAATGGAAGAGAAGAACACTTAACTGTAAAAGAATCCAAAACAAAACAAACTAAAAGCAGAACAGAAAGAAAGTGAAATGGAGCAAAAGCAACTGCCTCTTACAAGGCCCAAGAATGGCATTCAAGGGCCTTTGGACATATTCAAAGCTTGCTACCTGCCTCTTACAGGCCAGACACAACACTGCTGGCCTTGGACTGGGCAGCAAGCCTACTGCAGCCAGGGTACCGTGCTACCGAGCTGCACCATCCCTGTATCAATGTTTAAAAAAATGTGAAGAAAAGGGAGGGTGTGAGGAGTCTTTTAAAATACATCCCACCAGATAAATATTTCAGACAGCTTAACATAAAAATCTACTGATAAGGGGTTTTGAAACAACCGCCCAATTTGTGCTGTGTACCACATAAGTAAGATGCAACTAAGAACAGAGGTCTGCAGCCTTCTGTTGGTACTTAGTTTAAAACCGGTTTTTGTGCATTGGACCCCAGGGCCAATTTAAGTAATGCTTTCTTATGAACGAGCTGAAGTTGCTGTTCGCTGCCTCACCGCTCATTTAGAGACATCTTGGTGGTGCTTTTTAGCACAACTTTCGGCGCTGACTGTGCAGCCATCTTCAAATCCCGAGGATCTATAAAGGACAATAAGCAGAATGAGTAAATCAGAATAACAACGACCACATTTCTACAAGGGTCAAAGGCCCAAAGCACCAGTGAATGAATGAGTGAAAAGGCCTGTCCTTAAGAGCACACTAAAATTCATTTCAGGTGCTTAAATTTGTAAGTGATGTCATAAAAACCCTGAAATGAAGTGATGTATAATTTACATTTGGGAATCTTTATTTGAGTTATGTCAAACTAATACACTTCAAGGCCAAAGGACGGAAAGTATCTGCCAAAGCCGCCAAAATAGCAGACCTAGACCTAGCTAAAATAAGTATAAGAGTTTGAGAGGCATGACCACATCAAGAGGGCAAGAGAAAAAAAAAGGGGTATAAGAGTTTGGCTTTTCATCTATAGTCGTTCTTTTCAACAACCTTGGCTGCAGGGAGCTTTTTAAAGAAATGCAGGAGTCTGGGCCCAAACCAATTAAACCACAATATCTGGTGGTGAGGGCTGGGGATCAGCAATTGGAGAGGGGAAAAAAGGTTACCCAGTGCTTCTCACGTGTAGCCAAAATCGAGAACCATTTAATCTAGACTAGAGAGATGACACAGGCATACCGAGTTTCAAAGTAGGTATTCAACTCCAAAATAAGCAGGGGCCTGAGCAAGGGAGTGGGGATCTGGGGGAGAGCGCAGGCAAGGTTTCCTAATTGGGCATGCACCTGGGAATTAACTCCCAGAGAGCGTTCTATAAAATTTAACCCTAAAGCCGCCATTCCTTTCCAACGTTCCCCCAAATCCCGTAGTCCTCATTTCATCTCCCTACCATCTCAAAGTCTTGCAAGACAGCCAACTTTGCTCAATCCGCCAAAAATTTTTCCTTTTTCCCCAGGTCAAATCCCATCCTTTTCCAGCAATCCCGCCGCCAGTTTCCAATTCAGGCCCGCCCCCTCTACCTCCCCAGGGCTCCGCCCCCTCCCCCGGGCTTCCACGCTCCAGCACCCCATCTGCTTCCACATAACCCAACACCGTCCGGTCCGCCGGCCCCTTCCGCTCCCCAGGACGTTCCTTCTCCCCACAGAAACTTACCGAAGGAAAAGGACGCCAGTGCTCCTCCTGGGGCTGCCACGACGGCTGCGGAAGGCGGGCCGGGGGCCGGCCGACACTGAGTTGATGGTGGAGGGGCTCGGGTTAACTTGTTTGGTTGGTTAGATGTGTAAGTGGTAGACTGCTAGGATAGTTCGTTGCTGTTGGCTGTCTGGTCAGCCGATCCACCTGCTCTCACCCGGCCTACCCTTTCCTGCCTTTCGTCTGTGCCACCACAACCGCTGCCTCCAACTCCCGCTCGGTGTCCAAACAAAATGGCCGTCACGCCCAGTGCGGAGTGGGACCGGCTAAAATGGCGTCGACGCAATTACGTCATACGTCAGATCCGCGCACAACTAGGGGGCGGAAAGGCTTGTGCTACGCCTGCGCGGGAATCAGGGCGGAATCCTAGGGAGAAGGCGGGGCTTTAGCACGGGCCCCTTCTGAATGTTCCCAGTGCTTCGCCACGGAGGGGCGTGGCCAAGGCCTCGCGTTGGAGGCTTGGAGGGGCTTCTTGGCAGAGCTGTTAGTACAAAATTGGGGCTCCTATGCGCGGATTTGGTCCCCATGAAAAATGTGTTCGTATTTCCTTACGCGCCTGCTCGCCTCCCCAAGCTAAGGCAGACCGTCTAAAATTCTTTACGTGGGATTTGTTTCGGTCCCTTTCCGGACCTCGGGGCCTGGGTTAGTTTGCACTGGTTCTCCCCTCTCATCATTCGCTGTGTCCCGAGCTGTGGCCTGCCATAAACCACCCAGCCAAGTCCTGGGGGCCAGTGCTGGGGGCACGCCTCTACTGGATCCTGCTCCCGTCACCACCTCCCGTCCATATTTTCCTCTTCACTTTCTCCCCTCCCCAACTTGGCCTGAATATTGTGAAATTGTTAAATCCTTATTTGGGTGGGATCTTTGAATCTCTGTTCCCCCTTCCAGGTCCTCCTTCTCCGCCTGCCATCCATATGGGTTTTGACACAGACATACCGAGTTTTTCTAATGCCTGGTTATACAAAATGCTTAAATGTTTGATTGATGAATGAATGAATGAATGAATGAATGAATGAATGAACACATCTTCAACCCTCCTCCCTTCCTCCCGCTCCCCCCTCCCCCATATATGCCCATCAGGATTCTTTCATTTTCCTTCCTAGCATTTCCGTGTATGTGTTTAATTAATGGTTTGGCATCCTTACTGGACTTTATGTGCGTGAGGGTAAGGGTTGTGTTTGTTTCATTCACTGCTGTATCCCTAGTTCCTACACAATATCTAGCACATGGGAGATCCTCTAAATATTCTTTGAAGGTTGAAGGGAAATTCTTTTTCTGGCTTTATAGCTGAGAAGCCAATGTCTCATTCACTTCCAGCTGGAACCTTGAACCCCTACCTTCCTAGGCCTTGAGTATTCCTCAAGTAGGAAGATGTAATGGTCCCCTGACTTGTCTCCAAATAAGACCCCATCCCAAATACGGCAAGTTGGAAGTGAGCCACCTTCACTTCCCCACCCACTTCCAGAGCCCAAAGGAGACAGACAGCAGCTGGCGAGAGAGGAGCCTTTAATGAAAGACGAGTTGCAGGCCTGGCCCACTACTCTTGCGCCCTTGTTGGAGGGTGGGCAAAGGTGGGACTATGGGAAGGGAAAAGTAGGGTGAAAGGAAAGCAGGGTGTAGGGGCAGGTATGGCAATGCAGAGGGGAAGGGCGCTGCCCACTGGGGCTGTCTGCTCAACTGTTCTCCCAGAAGAAGTTGTTACAGGCCACTGTGAGGGCAGCCACCAGCACCACATACTCCTGGAAGTCCACCTCCCCGTCTCCATTCTCATCTAGCTCCTTCATCACCTTGTCCACAGCATCCGCATCCTTCTGGGCCTGTGAAATGAGATAGAGAGGTAGTTGTATAGAGATGTATATAGCACTGAGTCAGAGGCAAGGGGGTGGTTGATTGAGGAAAAGGAGCCTTAGATGAGCAAGAGGGAGAACTACATCTAATTACGGGCTCTACTGCTGCCCTCCTCGAAACCAGCTGACACTTGTGGCCTCCTGTTGCCTACAGAATAACCTCAGTCATTATACGTTGAGTGCCTACAATGGGGTAAGCAGTACATCTGGAGTTTATAAGCATTGTCTAATTTTTTTTTTTAAATCCTCACCCAAAGATATTTTTTCCATTGCTTTTCAGAGGGAGTGGAAGAGAGAGAGAGAGAGAGAGAAACATCGATGTGAGACACATTGATTGGTTGCCTCCCACACACACCCTGACTGGGAGCCGGGGATCAAGCCTGTAACTGAGGTACGTGCCCTTGGCCGGAATGGACTAAGCCAAACTGGCTAGGGCAAGCATTGTCTAATTTAATTCTAACACAAATAGTATAAAGTAGGTTTCATTATTTCCAGTCTAGAGAACAAACAAATTGACAGTTGGTAGATAAATAATTTGTCCAAAGTCACACATCGAGAAAGTGGCAGTGTCAGAATTCGAACCCAGATCTAATAAAACCTCACAGCTGTACTTTTTTACAAAATTGATTTGAGAGAAAGAGATATATATAGAGAGAGGAAGCAGAGGCAGGGGAGAGAAAGAGAAATATCGATTTGTTGTTCCACTATTTATGCATTCATTGGTTGCTTCCCCTATGTGCCCTGATTAGAGATCAAACCTGCAACTTCGGCATATGGGATGATGCTCTAACCAGCTGAGCAACCTGTATCCTTTGCTCCAATCAAAACTACTGAGCATGCTGCATAGTCTTCTCTCTGCCATGCTTTTTTATTCATGCAGATACCTCCTCCTAAAATGTCTACATTTACCCTGATAATCTTCCACTGGAAATCTATGGCTCAAGTGCCACTTCTTTGGAGAAGCCACCCCACTTCTGCCAGGTTAATATTCTCCCGTAGTCTTTTCTGTCACTTCTGTTAAGGATCTGTGTGCTTCCCGGTGTTCGACGTTTGCTTTTAAGGTTTGCTTTTAAGTCTTTCCCTTCTAGACTGAGCCTTGTTATTGATGCATTTACACAGGGCCTGGCACAGGTGATTAATAAGTCAGGACATTTTGACTTGAACCAGGAGAGGAAAGAGATGGATGAGGTAGGCTGGGATGGGGTAGGGAGATACCCATTCTGTTCCCCCACCCTTCACCCATTCCACCCAGTGCTCACCCACCCTTCACCCATTCCACCCAGTGCTCACATCCAGGAAGCTGGAGAGCTCGGTCTGCAGCAACTCTTTCAGCTCCTTCTTGCTCAGCTTGTACTTGTCCCCCTCCTTGCCCGAGTGGGCATGGAACACATTGATGAGAGTCTCCATCGCCGTCTCCAGCTCAGAACCCATTGCGCAGCTCACCTACCCACCAACCACCATAGAAGTGAGCTGGGAACCATGCTCAGGATATCTGGGGTCAGGGTCAGGGTCAGGGGAGACCACAGACCTGGCCCTGGTTCCACAGCCCAAATAGCCATGAGATCGGAGGCCCATTACAATTTACCTTTCACTGGGATATTAGGATGTAGGGGAACCCAAACAGATCTAGGTCCAGAGCTGTTCTTTGTGTCCCTCAATCCATACCCCAGCCAGAGGGAGTCAGGGTTTAGGGCATGGAGGAAGAACAGCTGGAGAAGGGCTGGCTCTAGAGGCCTCAAAGGACTTTGCAGTATCTCCTGGCTGCCTGGAAAGACACTGAGGAGGGTGTGGCAGGCAGGCAGGCAGGCAGGCAGGCAGGCAGGCAGGCAGGCAGGCAGGCAGGGGTGGTCACAGGACCCAGCCAGGCTTCCTCTGGCTCTATTTTTACCCTGGACTTTGCCTGCCCAGCATAGCTAAGCTCTGTTGTTGGGGTGGTGGGCTGGGCTCCTCGCTACAGATTTGATTCTGCTGCCCACCCTGAGCAAGGAGTCAGTCTGGTGCCCTTGGACACCTGATGGAGAGGGTGCAAGCCTGAGTGGGTGGCCCAAGTTTCATGAGGAGAGGATCTCATTGCCCCTGAGCCTCCTGTCAGCAGATTGGGGGCCTTTTTTGGTCCTTCAACTCTGCTCTGTCCTGAACATGGCACTTTGGCTCCCTGGGGTGTGCCTCAATTACTGCTAGCTTGGTTCCTCTTACTCCTCTGCAGAATAGGCCCTTCCATAGGGTAGTGGTGGGAAGGAAGAGAGGACTGTCTGACCCTTTGCCCTGGAGTCAGAGCTTCCAGGGTAGAGGAGAGGAGACCTGTGTGGTCTTGTCCCTGCTGCTGACCACTCCCACCCCAGGTAGATGTGGGGACAGTGGCAGCAGGGAGAAAGGGGCTGGTATGTATTGGGGGAGATAAAGGGCTAAGTGAATGAGGCCCTCTGAGTTTAAGGGGCTGGGAGAGAGGAGGAAAATGGAGAGGTTTGTGGAGGAGAGGGGACTGCCAAGCCAGGGGTCTCTTTTCCTTCGTCTTGGGACAGTCAGCCCCTCCACAGCCTCAGGGGGCAGCTCAGGTATCTCAGATCAGGTGTCCCCATCCTGCCCCAGGCCTGAGGGGCTGGACAATGGGCCCTGATCGAATGACATCCCAGCTCTTCAATGGGGCCCTTGTGAGTGTCACCTGAACTCTGGACATGAGAAGCGGTTGTCACAGAGACGTGGGGGAGATGGAACCCAAGCCTGGCTGATGGAGGGGATAAGGGGCATGTGAGGGAGGGGTGCTGGTGGCTCAGTTACCAGCCCATCCAGGAGGGGCACCTGGACGTTGCCTGGAGCTCTGAAGTAGAGCAGCCAGGCATTTTATGTAGGGGCAGTTCTGAGAGGACCTTGACAGGAGGGGGCAGATGGGAAAACAAAGAAAAAAGAATTGGGGGAGAGAGGAGTCTGGCGGTCTGGACCAAAAAAGAGGAGGAGACAGAGGAGGTTATATGAAGGGAGAAATGGGAGTGGGTATAGTACCCTAGTGACCCCTCTTCCTGATATCTCATGGTCTATGCTCTGCCCCCTCCAGGCTTCCCTGGGCCCTGAGCTCTTGTCAAAGCTGCGTTGGGGTGGCAGAGGCTGAGGATGCCGGGATTGAGCAGAAGCAGCTGTTCCGCCTGCTCTCATTCTTACCTCGCTGGAAGTGAGCCCAGGGTTGGGTCCCATCTCCAGCACTTGGGAGATGGAGGGAGCTTTGGGAGGGCACTTGAGGGCTCCCTGGTAGGACGGCCTGGTCTTCTGGAAGCTCAGCGGCTAGGTTCCCCACTGGCTTCCTCACTCACCTAGTTCTCAGATAGCCCTCCAACCTTCATTTGCCTCCCCTCTCTACCCTCCAAACCCTGTCTCCCCTAAATACCAAACTGCTATCATCCGAACTCCTCCCAGATCCTCAGTGCACTACGATGCCATTCTCCCCAAGTTCTTGGAGCCCCGCTGAAGTCCCCTTTCCCTCAAGCTGGCCAGGGTTTGATGGGGCAGGATACTCACTGTCAGTCTGGGCCTGAGGTGGGAGCAGGTTCTGGACAGACAGACAGGCTGCAAATGTGGCTACTGGAGCTGTGCGGGGAGACCTGTCTTCAGTCCTCCTTCCCCCACTGACCCCCCCTCCATCGACTCCACCCCTTCACAGACAGACACCCAGTGGGGCAAGGGGCCAGGAGTGGACAGAGGCGCCCTCTGTCTCCTGGGCTGGAACAAGCTGCCCTATGTCTTCTTTTCCAGGCTTGATTGCCTCTCCCCCACTGCTGGGCCCCGACAGGCAGGGCCTGGGAGGAAGGGAAGTGGGAAAGGTCCTGGGAAGGACACTGAGCCCCCCCCCCCC